CCCCCCCCCCCCCTCGCCCTCCCCTCCCCGCCAGTACTCGTGCAGGTTGGACATCCTTTCAAAGGAGGGTTATTATGAGGTCTTGCACGGGTATTTCTCGGCGGTTTCAGTTATACACCCACTTCTTTAAAAAAAAAAAAGAGAGAGAGTTTTCTCCTCGGGACAGTGCGACACAGCGACGCTGTTTCTTGCTATAGACAGGGTTCTGCTTTGTTTAATTAAAAAGAGGACGAGGGAAGAGGAGAAAAGAAAAAGAAGGGAGTTCCCTCCTTGCCGGGAAGAGTTTGATTTTTAACAAATCATTTTATTTATTTATTTACCGTCTCTAATAATGGTAAATGGGAGGAGTGTGGGGAATAAAAGGGAAAGTTTGCCAAGTCAGCTGCCACACTTAACGGACATTTGACAGTTATTATAATTAGGTGTGAGGCGTGTGGGGGGTGATAGCTAGCATACACGCTTTGGGACAAATTGCTCCTAGATCCTAGACAACATTCACAAACACAGTTCCTTTCTTTTTTCCCATTTTTCTTGTGTAAAGCAGAATGCAATGTGTAAATCAGTTTTTTCCCTCATGATGACTGAATAAATGGGCAATGCTTTTGAGTATAGACAAGTTCAAGTTGAGTAGAGATTGAGCTTGTTTGTTAACATCGGAATCCTGACTTTGATTTAGAATTTGGTTAAATTCCTAATCGTTTTCAAGGAAGGGATGTAGAACTCTTCCTTGCATAAGATCAGAAGTATGGAGGGGGGAAGAATAAGACATTCATACCAAGCAGTCCTGATGCTTTCGCATACATGAACAGGAGATTTATGAGTTCTCAAGCAGAAGCAACAGACAAAGCACAGGGTGTTTTCCTCTTACTCCTCCTCCTCTTCTTCTTCTCTAGAAATGAAATTAAATTCCGGAGTCTTGGAGTAGAATAATGCACTTTGATTATGTTTTCATAATGTAAAAATAATTCATATCAGGCAGTAAAAGTAAAACAAAAATGCAGTCCATTATGAGAAAGTTGCATTCTGAAACTAGCTTTACAGGGGAGTGGTTTGGGATGGGGGGAGAGGAGGGAGGGCAAGGACAATAGAAATTGGATTCATATTCAGACCAGGCTAGCAGCATCTCCATGAATGTGCAAGCTAAGGGAAAAACAACAAGAACAAGAACAACACAAAACTGTTATTTGGTTTTCCTTAAACAAAATCCAACCACTCCCCTTAAAATATGAATAAAACAAATCCGTGTTTGTGTATGAGAGACAGACTCCAGACGTTCCTAATTACAGCTTGAAATAAAGTCTTTGTGGGAAAAGCTTTTGCTTGCTATGGTTTTCAGAACTGAACCCAAGGAATACATTTTCAAAAAAAGGAGGATTCAGCATCCCATTATCTCATGGCTTTTTTTAAAAAGCCACACTTCCCCCCCTTCTTTGTCTGCCATACTGTTATCTACACCTCCCCCAACCACCGCCCACTGTGAGCTAAGACACCTGAAGGCCAGACATAATGATCAACAGAGCGCTTTACTCCAGCCTGTCTGGATTCCAGCCAGGTTGCCCTCCCCCCCCCCCCCCCCC